GTAATTGTCGGATAATTTCGTGGAGTCGATTAACAGAAGAATAGATAGTTTTGACTTTGACGCGGCTCTTGGGCTGAATTTGTTTTGTTATTGTTGTCGTTTGAAGGATCTGTCTGGATTGGAATATCTTGGACATGAACTTGTAATAACTAATTCTATAATACCCGATAGGTTCCTCACTATTGGACATGCAGGCGTGTCCCCTTGGGAGTTGCAGGAACCAGTTTAGTTTCAATTTATTGGGAGGCGAAGATTCTGTGTCCCCCACTGAGTCTCACTGTTATGGGTAATCTGTTTGCACGTAATGCCGTATAGAAGGACTGTGAAATTGTCTAAATGACAATGATTTGGTAGCGACCCGTCCATCGCTCACCTCTTTTCGGAAATCTCTTGAAATATTCGGGTAGGACTTGATGCCTTTTTCAGATTGCTTAAATAGTGCCTTAATCACGGCAATAATCATTGTCTCATATATGTCTTATGAGTAATGGTTTGGCATCAATTTGACATCTCCAGGTCCTCCCGAATCTCTTGGGACGGAAAATAACATGTTTCTTTTTCTCAATCTCATAAATTGCTCACTAGTTATCTTGCGTCTACCGGCTTGGATTTTCAAAGGAACTTTGCTTCGGATGTCCAATTATTTGACATGTGCGAAAACAAACTGTGTAATTTAGCTCGCGGGAGAAACACGGCGCAGCGCACAAATTGGTCGCTAGGAAATTTTAGGGACATGTTATTTCAGTTGACTTCAAAACAGCAAAGACAAGCGACCTCCTACTATTTCAAGGTTCTGAAAGGTCAGCACTGGGCACAATTATTGTCGGCTATCTTTCATGAAAATCACAGTCATTTTGTACCTGTATAAACTATCTCTTGACACTCTGTATCATATCCAGCCAGAAATTATTCCTTCATTCCTCTTCTTTCGTTAAGTCTGTGGTAACTCGGTGGATTTTTTTTGTGGCTCCGCTAAAACACGGCAATCGAAGACTGATAGCATGGTGATTGTCAGCTTTTGTAAAGATGTTTTTATCTTTTTCTTTTAGTGATTTTATGCACGTCTATTTCTGTTTCGATGAGTATTGAAGCTAAGTAGTCCTAACTAATTCACTCACTACATTGTTTTGTATCCGCTGTAATCGTGATTTTTGTTGACAATGGCATTTCGAACAAGTTGCTGACGAATTGACGCAATCATCCATTGGGAACATCGTTAGGACAAAAATCAGTGATTAGTAGATCGAGTGTAAAACTGTTTAACTTTAACACCCTTCTGGTCAAAAGCGTGCTGTTAAAACCCACTACTCGACCAGAAACTATGACTTCCAGAACTGTGCTGTAAAAATAAATGATCAAATATGTATATAGTTAAGTATATATATATTAATTTTCTTTAGACTTAGAGAATAAAAGTAATCGAATCTGAGGTTCCGGTCGCTCCTTATTCACCACTCAGTGACAGCACAGAAAACAACTCTAACACATTCACGTGCACACACAATGTGAAACGATTTTCTGAAAATTTTCATACAGGACATTTTCCACTAGTGGACGTGACCCTGCTCGGCGCCCCACACACTCGCGTATTCATACTCCAGCAGCAGTTAAGAACAGCTGATGACGTTGGCGAATTTATCGCCGAACATAGAGAAAACTTGCGGCCGCAGCTCCTTTTCACACTATAGGTAGTGCGTCCAAGTGAGTGTGGCCCTCTCTTCCCATCTCTCTCTCTCTCTCTCTCTCTCTCTCTCTCCGCCCCTCTCACGGCCGTGCCCCTCGGGGCCTTGGCTTGGGCGAGGACGGGGACGGGCGAGCGCGGACCTTCCCTCTTTCTTGGTTTCGGCTCAAACTTGGGTTGTAAATTAACGGGTTCACGTGAGAGTGTCATACACCAGCCAGGGCGGGGCGGGGCCGGGGCCGGGGCCGCGCTGCTGTGAATGGGGCCGTCCAGGGGAGTGGAGTAGCTGCGGGGGTTTTGCAAAGCAGTTGAGTGGTTTTGCCCCGCCGCCGTTGGACAATCTAAGCTGGCCGCGCCGCGCCACGCCGCGCCACGCCCCGCCACTTGCCAGCGCAGTTTGCGAGGGATGAGTGGGCGGGACACGAGGCGCTCACAAATTTCGTTTTATTATGAAGCAGCGCGCGGGGCGGGAGCGGCGGGACGGGCAGAAAGTGCACACTGCAAAACAAACAAACAAACAAAAAAACGCAACAAAAACTGAGGTGGCACCTCCAAAGAAAATCTACAAGCGAAGGGTTTGACATAATATACATGCTTTTAAATGTCTGAGGGACAATATTTGGAACTAGCTATGAACATAATTTGTACGCATAACTTGCTGTAACCCTTCACCCTTTTTTTTCTAGCTAATTACATTTTTTTCCTGTTACAATATTATCTAACATGCTAGTTACTAAGTCATTTAGCGCGCGTCCCAGGTAAATGGGGTTGTATATGGCCATATATGATTTGTATATGATCATATATAGCGATATATGCTTTATATATGATGACATATATGCCCACCACATATATGGTTGTATATGGTCATATATGATCATATATGCGTGTATATGGGCTTATATATTACCATATATGGGTCCATATATCACCATATATGTTTCGATATACAGCCATATATGGTCATATACAAGCATATATGCTAATATAGTGCTATA